GTGTCTTCGTTCTCCTTGGTTTCAAGGAACATCTTTATTTCTGCCTTCATTTCATTGTTTATCCAGTCAACATTCAAGAGCCACTTGTTCAGTTTCCATGAAGTTGTGTGGTTCTGAGTTAGTTTCTTAATTCTGAGTTCTAATTTGTTTGTGCTGTGAACTGAGAGACTGTTTGTTAGGACTGAAATTCTTTTGCATTTGCTGAAGGAGTGATTTACTTCCAATTATGTGGTCAATTTTAGAGAAGGTGCGATGTGGTGCTGAGACGAATATATAATCTGTGGATTTGGGGTGGAGAGTTCTGCAGATATTAGGTTTGCTTGGTCCAGATCTGAGTTCAAGTCCTGGATATACTTGTTAATTTCCTGTCTCGTTGATCTGTCTAATATTGACAGTGGAGTGTTGAAGTCTCCCACTATTATTCTCCAGATTTTTTAATGATCGTCATTCTAACTGGTGTGAGATGGTGTATCTCAATGTGGTTTTGACTTGCGTTTCTCCAATGACCAGTGATGATGGGCATTTTTTCATATGTTTGTTAGCTGTGTAAGTCTTCTTTTGAGAAGTGACTGTTCATATCCTTCACCTACTTTTTGATGAGGTTTTTGTCTTGTAAATTTTAGTTTTTTGTACATTCTGAATATTAGCCCTTTGTCAGGTGGGTAGATTGCAAAAAAATTTTCCCATTCTGTTGGTTGCCTGTTCACTCTAATGATTGTTTATTTTGCTATATGGAAGCTCTGGAGTTTAATTAGATCCCATTTGTCTATTTTGGCTTTTTTTTTGCCATTGCTTTTTAGTGTTTTAGTCATGAAGTCCTTGCCTATGCCTATGTCTACATCCTGAATTGTAATACCTAGGTTTTCTTCTAAGGTTTTTATGGTGTTACGGTTAAGTCTTTAATCCATCTGAAGTTAATTTTTGTATGAGATGTAAGGAAGGGGTCCAGTTTCAGCTTTTGGAACATTGCTGGCCAGTTTTCACACTTTTTATTTCAGATTTCTCTCATTATAACAATTTTTGCAAGGGTGATCTTAATAATAGCAATGATCAGTATTTATTGAAAGCTCATTCTGTGTAAGCATCTGACATATAATTCTAACCCTAAGAAGTTGGTAATTTTATTATCCCTATTTTTCAGATAAAAAAGACTGACATATAGGTATTATGAGGAGGGCAAAGGATAACTTCCCCTTTGCCCCCTGGAAGTTCACTAAAAATCAACTACGGGCAGGTTAATAGTAGAAAAGGCATACAAAATTATTTTAACATTCATAAGCATGGGGGCATTGCATGAGAATGATTATCCACTCGCTAAATGGGGCACAGAATCTTATTTCTTCTTCATAGGAGAGGGGATAGGGAAAGTACACAGTTTTTTTGAGGAGCCATAAATGATTATTAGGAAGAATGAATGGACCCAGGAGACAAAAATTAACTTGTAAATGATTCTCTTTGGAATTTGAATGAGCCCAAGAGGCAGACATTATCTTGTGAAAAACATCTGTCCAGGTGTGCTTGCATTCTCAGCTTGCTTTTCTGCAAAGATAATGAGATTTCAGGGAGAGGATGGAAGGCAATTGTGTTTCTTTTTGGGGGTACTGTTTCTAGATAGATAGGGGAACTTCGGAGAAAAATCTTCATTCTGTGCTTTGGGCGAGACAGTGATTGAGAGATTGGTGTGCGGGGAAGGTCCCCCATATTTCAGGGCAAAATATTCTGATATTCTTCTTGCCCAATATTCACCTACTTATATGTGGTTTGTCCTGGAAGTAAACCAAACCAGTCTAAGTCCAGGCTCTGGAAGACTCTTAATCACTGTATGACTAAATCAGTGCCTGAGTGAAATTAGTGAATGAATAGCACCACCAAGCCTGAACCTTCCACACATAGGAATCATTCGGGGATGAAGTCATTGGGACAGTCTATATAGTTCAAATATCAGCTTCAATGTCTTGTTCTACAAGAAGACTTTCAAGTAGCATAGCTAAGAGCATCAATCCCTTCTCTGGCACTTTTTTAACAGCACTGACTACCATATGTTGGAATGTATCCACATGTCTTAGTTTCTTTACTACTGGTGAGAGTCTACAAAACTGGTCAAGTATCTATTCTCCTTGGTGTTTCTACAGCCCAAACGTAAAACCTTGTACACAATAGGCTACCAATGAGTGTTTGCCAGGTGAGTAATGGAAATGTGTGTGACAAGCAAAGGGATCTTTGACTCTTCCTTTATTTTTTTTCCCAGAAATTGTGGACTCTTTTTCATCTCTTTCTCTGAGATTCTGGAGAGTCTGTTGTCATACAGATTTTAGATGACTGCAAAATAAAACTTTTTTTAAAGATATTAAGTACAGGAAAGAATCTATGAAGTATAGTTAGTAACAATTTGATAATCATTTGGTTAGAAAATTATATTTCTAAGAAATTGCTATTCTTCCTTGCAAACTGCATTCATAGAATGAATGAAAAAATATGTAGAAAATCACCAAAAAAAATTATATTTTTAAAAGTTAACTATAGTCATCAAGAATTGCCTTTCTAAAACCTCAAATTAAAGGCATTTTCTGCTTCAGCTAATAAATCCATAATCTTTATTTATAATTGATTCTAAGGAGGGCCATACTGAGTAAATTTGGCTGGAATGACAAGTTACAAAGCACATATTTAGGAGGAAGTTGCAAATCTTCACTGTGTTTCCATTATTTACAGAGCATCATATAGCTAATATGCATAACACACATAGAAAATAAAATAAATTTAATTCAGTGGACATTTCTTTATTGATTCTAGTATATAAAATGAATGGCATTAAGTGCCAGGGAATTTACAGAAACATAAGACCTGGTCTCCATCTTTGCAGAATTTATGATCTGGAGATGAATATTTGAAAAAGAGATAAATTAACAAGTAAACTGTGTGATTTTATTATAACAACAGCTAATATTTAGCACTTAACAAGAATTTCAGTAGTTACAAGGCATTATCTCATTTAATCCTTACAAAAGCTCTATGTAGTAGGCATTATTATTATCCCACGATACAGCTGATGAACCTGAAGCTCAGGAAGATTTAGGTAACTTCTCCAAGATTGCACGACCAGGGGAATGGATGGGTGGAGGTGCCAGGATGCAAACCCAAGCCCATGTGTATTTAAAGTCCATACCAAGAAGGCAGTAAAAATAAGGTACATCAAAGAGCACGTGATTCTTTAAAATTTGGGGAAATCAGACGCTATGGCACCCAAGCCTGCACTTGAAGGATGAAAATGAATAGAGATGGAGAAGGACATTGCTAGCAGAACCAAGGCAGATAGGGGAAGCTGAAGGGGACCTTGAGCGAACAGAGAAGAGTTCAGTGTTGCCATCCATGCAGGTGGTAGTCGGCGTGTAATAGAGGAGGTGAAACTGAGAAGAATGTTTGGAACAAGGCATCATTGGCCTTGAGTGTTACCAGGAAGAGTCTAGACTTTTCTCATTAGGCAGAGGGCAGTCACTGAACAGTTGTGAACCAGATCAGAGCTATATTTTAGGATTGATTTGGCAGCCACGTGTAAAAGGAATGAGATCCAGGAGAGGAAAAGAGAGAGGAGCCGTTAGGAAACTGCTAAAATAGCTAAGGCAAATGGCACTGGGAGTCTGAATTTGTACTGCAATAATGAGGGGAGAGCGGAGCAAATATAGAAACAGGAGATTTGGCACTGGCTGATATTTTAGTCCATTTGGGCTGCTGTAACAAAATATCATGGACTTGGTGACTTATAAACAACATAAATTTATTTCTGACAGTTCTAGAGGCTGGAAGTCCAAGATCCAGGTGCTGGTAGAGTCGGTGTCTGGTGAGGGCCCTCTTCCTCACAGGGAGCCATCTTCTCCCTGCGTCTACACATGAAGGGGTGAGAGGTCTCCCTTAGGTATCTTTTCTAAGGACACTAATCCCATCCATGAAGGCTCTGCCTTCATGACCTAATCACCTCCATATGGCCTCACCTCATAATCAATCACCTTGGAGGTTAAGATGTAAGCATATGAATTTTGTGGGGGACACAGATATTCCGACCATAGCACTGGATGTGGAGAACAAAAGAGAGAGATGACAATGTCACAAGTTCAAAAGAGCAAGCATGTCATCTATCGTGCCAAGGAATCACATGTCCTTGTCTAGTTAAAAGGGGTTATAATACTGGGAGATGAGGGGCGCTAAATAGGAATGGTGCAACTGGTGGAGCACTTCAAAGCACATGAGTGAAGGTTGGGATTTCCATGTGCAGCAAAGCAGCACTTTTCATGGTGTGGTGCAGGGATTTGATATGTGTTGGTCTATGACCAAAAATGATGGCCATACTTCTCAGATACTTGAAATGAGCATGCAGACCTTTAACAAAGGTAGACCATGTGGCATTCAAAGTCTGATTTTTAATTTTGAGCAAGTGAAATTACTGAAGTGGCCGTATAGAATTTGTATAAAAGTAAATGATTGCATAGTTTGTTACAAATCATTTTTTGAGATGGAGTCTAACTCTGTCATCCAGGCTGGAGTGCAGGGGCACGATCTCAGCTCACAGCAACCTCTACTTAATGAGTTTAAGCAGTTCTTCTGCCTCAGCCTACTAAGTAGCTGGAACAACAGGCACACTACCACACCTGGCTAATTTTTTATATTTTTAGTAGAGATGGGGTGTCACCATATTGGCCAGGCTGGTCTCAAACTCCTGACCTCGTGATCCTCCTGCCTCAGCTTCCCAAAGTGCTGGGATTACAGGCATGAACCACCTCACCAGCCTAAATATAGTAATTTTTAAAAGGAAATGTAAACCCTAGGTTTTAAATGGTGCATTAATGTGTATACTTTCTTAACTCAGCATGATAATATGACAATAGAAATGCGTATTTTAACAGTCTCTTTTCTACTGATCTGTTATTCTTTCCTTTTTTTATTAATCCAACTAGAACTTTGTGTTTCCCACTTTCATATGAGTGTTTTTTCCTATTTTTTAACAGATGATAATGAAGAGGAGGAGGATGTTGAAATGAAAGAAGATTCAGGTATTAAATTTATAATTTTATTATTAGTGGGTAAGTAGGGGTCATTTTGTTGCTTATGTACACTTCATATTTTTTCAAAGACAAAAATAAGATTAAAATAGAGATATATGCTCTGTGTTATAAAAAAGTAGTTGTTGTGCTGACACTTAAGGTTAATGCAGTTAGTGTATTTAAGCGATAAATTTGACCTTGAGTTTCCTGACAAGTAAGGTAAAAATAGAACATGATGTTGTAGTTAATAGTTATATAACAGATCACCCCCAAAACTTAGGGTAAGCTGCAAACAAACTACTACTTATGCTCATGAGCACAGCAGAGATAATTTAATCATCCTGTTCACAAGGTTTGGGGCTCAGCAGGAAGGTTCAACAACTGGGAGCTGGGACCATCTCAAGATTCACTCTCTTGTCTGATCTCAACTGTCAGCTAAAATCTTAGCTGGGGCAATTTCCCAAAACACTTAACACTTCTTGTACCTGGCCACTTTATGTGGCCAGCTTCCAAAATGAGTTTCTCCTGGAAAAGGAAGACACTGTATTCTCAGGCTTAAACAGACATTCCACTGCATCACTCCATGTAACTGTTTTCTGTGAAGTAGTCCCAAGCCTGCCATTATTCAAGACGAAATGAAAATGGACTCAATGTCTTCATTGGGAGTGGTTCTGTAGAGCATTTAAGACCTAAAATATTGCTGTGGCCATCTTTGGAAAATATACTTTCCACATTTTATATTTTGTTCTCGTTATCAGAAATTCATGATGCATGCCAAGTCCTCAACAAAGCCCAGTTATCTATTGATTAAATGCACGGGTTATGGCCTAAGGTAGCCACTGAACATGCCTTATGATAGTGAATCCATGAATCAATAGACCTGAATTCAATTTTAGCTCTATCAATTATTGACCTTAGGCAAGTATCATTTTCTATAAGCCTCAGTTTACAATTATGGGGGCAATAATTCTTACCATATAGCTTTGGGGGATTACATCAGATAACATACCTAAAGTTTCATACAGTGCTTGGATCATAGTAAGCAAGCATTCAGTAAATTATTGTTTTTTTTTTTCTCATTCTAACAGATATTAGAATGATATAGAACTTAATCATATGAGTAAAAGCTTTTTCCCCATTTTAGCAATCACAGTGTTTTGACCATCAAATGTGGCCAGTTTTTAAGAGGTATCTCAGAGGTTCTAATTTTGTGTTGATGCCAGAACTCCCTACAAATCACTGACAGGCTCAGTCTGTGCAGCTCCACCAACAGGGAGCTCCTTAAATTCTGATGGCTCTGATCTCATTACAAGAGGTGTAATTGGAGTGGTCCTTTTTGTTGTTGTTAAGTTATATCTCTCTCCCTCCTCTCCCCACCCACTATCTTCAAGGGGAAATAACACCAGTTTCTTTTCATCATAAAAGTCCATTGGAACGATTATAGCTTCTATTTACTATTCTCCAGTCCAAACATGTCTAATGCTTAACATTCCCTTGGACTTCCAAATGCAATGGATTCAGAGGGCATGAGAAGCAGAATCTGAAAGTCAGGAGCAGGAATAAAGGAGGTAGAAGAGGAACTGTAGCAGTGGCTGTTGGTGCCCTACTTATGTCTCCTTGGTGTTTGCTGTTATTTTACAGCACCAACAGCTTTCCAAGGAAAGTCCTTATGACTCTCTGCTAAGTGTTTTACTCTGGCCCTGGGAGCGAACTCAAAGCACCAGAAAGTTAATTTCTCTAGAGCAGCCCTCAACCAATAATTGGTTTCTACCTATTGGTTGGTCAATATCCACATCTGACACAGGTTCTATTCCAGTGCTGTCTAGTAGAAACAATGTGAGCCTCAAATATAATTTCAGATGTTCTAGTACCTACATTGAACAAAGTGAAAGGATGAATTATACAAAACAGTATTTTGTATAATACAATAATCCAAAATATTATTTCAACATATAATCATCAATATAAAAACTCAGATAGTTTACATTCCTTCTTTCCATAGTAAGACTTTGAAATTGGTGTGTATTTTACATACACATCTCAATTCAAACTGGACACATTTCAACTACTCATTGGCAGGATGTAGCTAGTGGCTACAGTATTGGACAACATTGTTCAGAGGTCCCCAGTAAAACTGAGTCTCAGTTGCCCACAGTGGAATGTGCTCATGAACACACCCAGTAGTGGCTGTTTTCCTTTTCCTATATATCTTCCTTCCCTACTCCTCTTGTGATACTTGCTAAAATCCTCTCTCAAATTAACTGCTTAACACTCACTCAAACCCTTCTATGTTTACTTCTGAGAGAATATGACCTAAGACAAGGATTTTGCTTGCCTCTTATAAAACAGAGCTCAAGGTAAAACTTTAATTAAAATTTCAATTCCTACACCCCTGTAGAATGTCTTGTTGAAAAGAACCATATGTTTAAAAAAGACTTTAAATTATCACCATGTCTTGAATTAACTTTCATGAATTTAGTCTTAATGCCTGCCCTTTTCATTTATCCTGCTCACATGAAATGTTCTTGGAGTATCTTTTAGCCATGAGGGTTACTGCCCTTTCAAGCACCCAGTATAAGAGCTTTATCTTGCCCATGGCTTATTTGCATAAGTGCCACAAGTACACATTTCTAAGCAAAGAGAGCTGGCTTCTCCATGAGATTTAGCTAGCTATCCAAACCACTGAATGATTTTAAGGAAATCATTATTAATGCTAATACAGAGTCCACAGGTTTGGAGTCAGCATTTGAAGTTCGGTCCACAGGTGGCATTATTTGGATCATCTTATCTGATTTTAGTTCCACCAGGTTTTCTGAGAGTTTTGTCTCCAGCAGCTGGATGCAGCTGTTTAAGTCATATTCAATGGCCTAAGGATGCTAAGCCACTCAGACAGAATGGGCGTGGGAGCTACTCTCTATTTCCTGATACCTGAGTGCTGAAATCATGGGGAATTTTTGTACTGAATGGTCCCAGCTGGCCCCACCAGACACTGGTGTGCAGGCTGGCTTCATTCAGATCTCACACTCAAGCATGCCAATCTCAAAGGTGAGTCTGAACCAGCCTCCCAAGGCCAGTAACTGCAGCCTTTCCCCTGCCCTCTATCAGTTCTTCTATTCAAGTAGAAAAGCTGGAAGGACTTTTACAAATGCAACTGACACTAATGACATGTCAGTTGAGTGAATCAACTGGCCAAGACATGCTAGTGGGTGACAGCAAGAAACTTGAATACCTAAACCCACTGGGGTGCTTGTAAATTAACTCTCTGGGTAAGGAGAGCCCAGTTCGAAGAGTTTGCAGATTTCTACAGCATCAACACGCCTACCGTGGTCTTTTTCAAGCTTCCAAGCATGAGGTCAATGAATGCAAGAGCTGGGGAGAGTTGGTTCAATTAGCTGGTGTGAGCTGGCTCAAGTCAGCCACAGCACAGCTCTGCTGAGCCAGACTTTAATTGGGCGAGTACTTTACTTTGTGCCAATAACTTGACATGCATGAACTCATTTAATACACACAGCAACTCTCTATATAAGGCAGGAACTGTTGTTATGGAAGCTTAAAAGAGATTAGTTCCTTAAGTAGCAGAGCCAGAATTTGAATCTGAGTTTGCCTGACCCCAAAGTTCATGTCCTTTACTTTCTTGCTCCTGTCTCCAGACTTTCATAGTAAGTAGAGGCAGGAACATTTCAGATGGTATCAGACATGGTCATCTGTAAGGGAAGGCTCTACTCCCATGGGAGGAGGAAGCAGCAGACTGGCTTAAATGCCTAGAATTCCTTTTAAGTCCTTTAATCATCTTCCTTAATCCTGGCATGGCAAATGTTTTCCCATGTGCTTTCATGTCCATGACTATGCACTGTTGAAATCAGCCCCAATCTGAGCCAGCAGGGACAAAAAATTATCAACCACCTATGGAAATTCAACCACATCACAGCTAGAAGCACAGTTGATTCCCTCAGGGGGCAAATCCATGCTCCTGGCAAATCTCCAGGTTTCCACCCCGAGCCAGACACAGGGCCAGCTAGAACACATGATATATCATCAAGGAAAAGTATGAGGGTACATTTGAAGAGAGGTGGAAGCAACTCTCTTCTTCACTGCCCCAGGTCAAGAGGGAAAGTAGTTCCTCCCAAGCCACAAGTAGAAACCTGGGCATAGAGGCCATATGTGTCTGTGATTTTCATCAGCATGCCCCAAAACACTTTACCCATGGCATCATGAAACGATACAGTGGTACGTCATATAACACGTTTCATGTTCATAGTCAACATGAACTGACCCAAGGAGTGCTCTACAACTTTTTCAAAAAATGAACTATTACCATGTTGGGGGTGCTTAGATATTTCAAAAAGTGGCAAATGGATGCCCTTTTAAATAGTACCCACTCCCCAGGAATTCCCATTCTGGTCGAAAATGAAGACCTGGAACTGTAACTCACCAAAATGCAAAAAGGGAGTTTGGAGAAATGCCGGTTTGGAGTTGAATTTTCAGCACTGGAAGTGCTCTTGTTGATTCCAGTTGCAGACAACACATTGCGGTGACATGGAAGGGAGGTTGCAAATGTCACTTCACCCATTTTATGAATCCCTTTGAACCCAGTATTTGCACTCGGTGAGCTGCTCCAAGCATCTCATTTCTGTTTTTGCTGAACCCATTCCAAGGGTCGACATCTGTCTTGCACCTGGTGACAGACGTTTGGGGGAGTTGCTAATGTAGTCATTGGCAAAATTTTTCACCTTGGCTGTGACAATAACCTTAGATGTGACTGACTTGCCACCACAGAAAACCTAGCCTAGTGCCCAAAAGCTTTGTAGGTTATAATGCCAAAGTTTTTAATAGCACCTCTCTCAAGTGTGGGGTTTTTTTTGTTCTGTTCCTTTTTTAATAAATGGGAAATGAGTCGCTATAGCTCTGTAATGTAATTTTAGAATCCTGGCATGAAGGCGACAGCTGCTAAGAGAGAATTAGGCAGGGTCCCCATTATATCTTGGCCTTAAAGAAAGGCCTGAGGAAGCGAAAATAAAATAGATTTTGAAATGAAATTCACAAGGCGCTGCTAGGCACCAGGGATACAAGAGGGATTAGCAAAGACGAGTGCCCTTTTCTCATGGAATTTACATTCTGGGGGATGAGATGATGAGGAAGGAGACATAGGATAAAGGGATACACCAGAGAGCAAGATAATTTCAGATACAAGTGATATGTTTGAGAGAGATTTCCTTTGTGACGAGCCTTTAGATTAGGCAGTCAGGGAAGGCCTTCTAGAGAGTGAGATTTGAGCTGAGATTCAAAGGGTGAGAATGAAGCAGACCTATGAATGTGTGTGTTGGAGGAGTGGGGGTGAGAACAGCAGGTGCAAAAGTCCTGAGGTAGGAACAAGCCTGGCAGTGGTTGAGGAACATAAAGGGGAAGGAAGCTGACAAAGCTAGAGCCAAATGCAAGTGGGAGGTGAGGTTAGTGTGCCAAGTGGGGCCCAAATACATGCTGTGCTAGGCCTGGAATTGGACTTGGATCTCATTCTAAGCAATGGTTTTTAAACAGCTGAGCAAAGTGATCTTGTTTATGTTTCAAAAGCTCACACTGGCTGCTGTGTAGAAGACAGAGTGTAAAGAGTAAAAGCAGGGGGATTAGAAAGCCAGAGGTTGTAATTTAGAGGGTTATGAGATGCTGCTGGTTTGGGCTACTGTGGTGATTACAAAGGCTCAGTACAGTAGATGAATATGGAATCTATTTTAGAATGGAAATGATAAGGCTTATGATTATTTGGGGTTTAAATGCCTGGGTAGGGAGTAATACCATTCCTTGAGATGTGCCCTACTGTGGAAAGAACAGGCTTCCATTCAGTATATGGTGGTCTTATTTTAAATTTGAAATGCCTGATGAGGTCCTTTACAAAAAAAATTGAGAGGGCCTGATGTGATCCGAGTGCAGGGAAATTATTAGGGCTGTGAAGTGTGGGGCATGGTTAAGTACCAGCCCTAAAAGGACAATGGGAGGTGGCTACGAGACCCAAGAAACTTAGAGGGCCACTCTAAGTGGAGAATGCCAACTCTGGGGTCTGTAAGGTTAGATGAGGGATATAACCAGCTCATGAAAACTACCACATACCTAGAAAGTAAATGCCCTGAGCTCCCCACTGGCTACATCTAATAGGAAGTCAGAGAACCAGGGAATTCATTGATGCAATCCAGAAAATCCAGCCTCCCAGAGCAGGGATGGTGAATGGTGGAGACTGGATCTAGTGGGGCAAACAGATATTCAGTCCCAAATCCCAACCAAGATGCCATGTAGGCCGTTGAAGATGTAAGTCATGAGCTTAGTAGGAAGATGAGGGCTAGATACATCAATTAATGCCTAGTGAAATGCACTATATCCAAATGGAATTAACTTGGCGATGCTTTCCTGACACTGTCCTCAGAATTTATTTGCCCCCATGGATAGACGTAGAGAGGTATTGAGAAAAATAGGAAGTACAGTAATTTAATTGGGGACATACAGAATCTGGATTACTAAAAACAGTTTGTTATATAGGAGCAGGGTAAGTTCTAGCCCTATTACTTTCTCTATTCCTCTACCCCTGCTTTCAGGACTAAGATGAAATTGCACAATGACAATCGTCAGTCTCTGAAGATTAATATCAAACTCTTGAAGAAATTAACAGGGTTCCCTTATGGAAAATTTCTAAATTTAAAAAAGCATAAGTGTAAGCCTTAAGTCTATGTAGGTTGGAGAACCACAAGTCTTTGCAAGAATTTCACTTAGCCATGAGGACAGATGAATCTGCAATTAAGATTCAGTGTGTGTGTGCGTTTACTAAGAAGAGAACATTTCTAAACTTTAACCATAATTTCAAGCCCTACTGGTAAATATTTAAATAAGAATATTAAATCTTTGTGATTCCAGAGGGGTTAGAGCCAAAAGGCCTCTCTTCACCCCACAAGAAGAGCAAAGCAAAGAAGCCAGAATGTTTGAAAGACTCTAGTGAGGGTAAGTGCTGCCCCTCCTTCCTTTAGAAAATTATGCCATGAAAAGAAACTTCTTTAAATTTAAACTTCTTGAAATTATATATATATACATATACTCATATTCAGATACATATACCCATATCACAGAGAAATTCTTTTATCCTTTTCTAATATGTTTGAAGATGAAGAATCAAATTTATTTTGTTAAGGCAAAACCAAAATTTAAAAAGTCCATTGTGTCAGTGTGATGTATTTTCCATGTCTGCAAAGCAAAAAAATTATAGGTAGTGCTTACCAGTTATGTGTTCCAAAACTGCATGAAAGTGAAGGTCAGGATTTGCATGTGATAACCAGCTCTGCAGATATTGGCTTACTGGGGAAATTCGTTTTTCTGATAAATACATTGAGTCTTTCCAGATTCAGACCTCAACAATGGATGCTGGAAATGGTTCCCATCTTTAGCATTCTCTTTCATTTTCTAGGATTCTACATATCTTTGTATTTTTGCAATGAATGGACAGGTCCCACTGGACTAAGTTTTATGAGGAAATGGCACTGTTTCTCTTTTACAAACTAGTACAACATATAGTTCTTTCAACATTTTCTTTTAAAATGTTGATCAGCTGTTTTCACATGAACCTCAAATCTAAGAGTAGTACAGACTTTTACACCTGATCTTAGCCAAAAGGCTGAGAAGTAATAGAGTAGTACAGACTTTTAAAAGGGAGCTTAGAAGATGGCTGAATAGCAACAGCTCTGGAGTGCAGTGCTCAGCAAGATCAGTGCAGAGGGTGAGTTATCTCCTCTGCATTTCCAAAAGAGGTACAAGTTGCATCTCAATGGGACTGGTGGCACAGTGGGTGTAGCCCAGGAAGGGCAAGCCAAGGCAGGGTAAGTGCTGCCACACCTGGGAAGTGCAATTTTTGGAGGACCGCCCTCCCTACCCATTGGAGGCCATAGGGGTCTTTTCCATCCACTCCAGCACTCTGGTTCAGATACTGTGCCTCTCCCGTAGTTTTTACCGCCCACAGACCAGGAGATTCCCAGGCCGAAAAGTGCCACAAGTCTTCCAGAATGGCTATTTCAGCCAGCACTGTGGATTTCCACACAAAAACTTACACAATTCTGGGCGGCTGTTTCAAGTGACACCTGGAATGCCTGGGAGACCAAAAAAGAGGGGGCCAAAAGTAGGGAGCTAGGTGATCTGGTTTGGCAAGTCAGAGCATTTCAGATTGCCCCACAAAAACTGGCAATCTGAAATGCTCTGACTTGAGTTTCACAGCAAGTGCAGCTGAACCCAGATTGTCCAACTCTGCATGGAGAAGAGCATCCGCCACTACCAAGGCAGTCCACCATTACTGAGGCAGTTCTAACCATACCTCTGTAAACAAAACTGCAAGGAAGTTTACACAGGAGTTGGGCAAGACCCAGCTCAGAAACACCTCTCCTGGCAGACTGTGACTAGACTACCTCCTTGCTGGGCAGGGCATCTCTGAAAAAAGGCAGCAGCACATCAGGAACTTGTAAGTAAAGCCCCACCTTCCCAGGACAGAGCAGCTGGGAAAAGAGGTGGTTATAGGTTCCGCTGCAGCAGACTTAAACGTGCCTGTCAGGCAGCTCTGCACAGAACAACAGAGCTCCCAGCACAGCACCTAAGCTCTGATAAGGGACAGTCTGTCTCCTCAAGCAGCTCTCTGACCCTCATATATCCAAAGAGGCACCTCATAAAGGAGAGCTCTGGCTGACATCTGGCAGGTATCCTTCTTGGATGAAGATAACAGAAGAAACTAGCAGCAACCATTGCTGTTTTACAGCCCCTGTGGGTGATTCTCAGACAAGCAGGATCTGGAGTGGACCTCCAACAGACCTGCAGCAAAGGAGTCTGTTAGAAGGAAAACTGAAACACAAAGAAATGGTTTCAACAATAACAAAAAGGATGTCTACTCAGAGATTCCATCTGAAGGTCTCCAACTACAAAGACCACAGGTAGATAAATCCATGAAAATGGCAAGAAACCAGCACAAAAAGTATGAAAACACCAAAACCCAGAACACCCTCCTCCCCCAGGGGATCACAACTCCTCACCAGCAAGGGAACAAAGCTGGATGGAGAATGAGTCTGATGAATTGACAGAAAGAGGCTTCAGAAGGTGGGTGCTAACAAACTTCTCTGAGCTAAAAGAACATGTTCTAACCCAATGCAAAGAAACTAAGAACCTTGAAAAAAACATTAGACAAAATGCTAACTAGAATAACCAGTTTAGAGAAGAACATAAATGACTTGATATGGCTGAAAAACAAAACACCTCGTGAAGTATATACAAGTTGCAACAGCCTTATCTACCAAGCAGAAGAAAGGATATCAGAGATTGAAGATCAACTCAATGAAATAAAACAAGAAGGCAAGATTAGAGAAAAAACAATGAAAAGAAAGGAACAAAACCTCGAAAAATATGGGATTGTGTGAAAAGACTTAATCTATGTTTGATAGAGTACCTGATTATGATGAGAATGAATACACTCTGGAAAACACTCTTCAGGATATTATCCAGAAGAACTTAGCAAAGCAGGCCAACATTCAAGTCCAGGAAATACAGACACCACCACAAAGATATTACTCAAGAAGAGCACCTCCAGGCACAGGTCAGATTCACCAGGGTTAAAATGAAGGAGAAAATGCTAAGGGCAGCCAGAGAGAAAGGTCGGGTCACCCACAAAGGGAAGCCCATCAGACTCCCAGCAGAAACCCTACAAGCCAGAAGAGAGTGGAGGCCAATATTCAACATCCTTAAAAAAAAGAACTTTCAGGGCTGGGTGCAGTGGCTCACACCTGTAATCCCAGCACAAGGCAGGTGGATCACAAGGTCAAGAGATTGAGACCATCCTGGCCAACATGGTGAAACCCCATCTCTACTAAAAATACAAAAAAAATTAGCTGGGCATGGTGGCACGTGCCTGTAATCCCAGCTACTCAGGAGGCTGAGGCAGGAGAATTGCCTGAACCCAGGAGGCGGAGGTTGCGGTGAGCCAAGATCGCACCATTGCACTCTAGCCTGGGTAACAAGAGCGAAACTCTGTCTCAAAAAAAAAAAAAAGAAAAGAAAAGAACTTTCAACCTAGGAGTTCATATCCAAACAAACTAAGTTTCATAAGCGAAGGAGAAATAAAATCCTTTACGAACAAGCAATTGCTGAGAGATTTCATCACCACTAGGCCTGCTTTACAAGAGCTCCTGAAAGAAACACTGAACAGGGAAAGGAACATCCAGTATCAGGCACTCCTAAAACATGCCTAATGGTAAAGACCATCAATGCAATCAAGAAACTGTGTCAACTAATGAGCAAAACATCCAGCTAGCATCAAAATGGTAGGATCAAAATCACACATAACAATATTAACCTAAAATATAAATGGGCTAAATGCGCCAGTCAAAAGACACAGACTGGCAAATTGGATTTAAAAAAGACCCATCAGTGTGCTATATTCAGGAAATGCATCTCAAGTGCAAGGACACACATAGGCTCAAAATTAAGGGATGGAGGAGGATTTACCAAGAAAATGGAGAGCAAAAAAAACTGAGTTGCAATCCTAGTCTCTGATACAGTGGGCTTTAAACCAACAAACATCAAGAGAGACAAAAAAGAGCATTACATAATGGTAAAAGGATCGATGCAACAAGAAAAGCTAACACTCCTAAATGTGTACACATCCAGTACAGGAGCACCCAGATACACAAAGCAAGTTTTTAATGACCTATAAAGAGACTTTAACAAGGATATCCATTACTTGAAATCAGATCTGGACCAAGAGAACCTAATAAACATCTACAGAACTCTCCACTCAAATCCACAGAATATACATTCTTCTCAGCACCGCATCACACCTACTCTAAAACTGACCACATACTTGGAAGTAAATCACTCCTCAGCAAATGCAAAAGAATTGAAATCAAAACAGTCTCTCAGACCACAGTGCAATCAAATTAGAAGTCAGGATTAAGAAACTAACCGAGAACTGCGCAACTTCATGGAAATTGAACAACTGGCTCCTGAATGTCTACTGCATAAACAATGACATGAAGGCAAAAATAAAGATGTTCTTCAAAACCAATGAGAACAAAGACACAACATCCCAGAAACTCTGGGACACATTTAAACCAGTGTCTAGAGGGAAATATAGCACTAAATGCCCACATGAGAAGTGAGGAAAAATCTAAAATCAACACCCTATCGTTGATATGGAAAGAGCAAGGGGAGCAAGATCACAAAAACTCAAAAGCTAGCAGAAGACAAGAAATAACTAAGATCAGAGCAGAACTGAAGGAGATAGAGACATAAAAAACCCTTCAAAAAAATCAGTAAGTCCAGGAGCTGGTATTTTCAAAAGATCAACAAAACAGACCACTAGCCAGATTAATAAAAAAGAAAAGAAGGAAGAATGAAATAGATGCAATAAAAAATGATAAAGGGGCTATGACCGCCAATTCCACAGAAATACAAACTACCATCAGAGATTACTAACAACTCTATGCACATAAACAAGTAAACCTGGAAGAAATTGATAAATTCCTAGACCCTTGCACCCTCCCAAGACTAAACCAGGAAGAAGTGGAAACCCTGAATAGACCAATAATAAGGGCTGAAGTTGAGGCAGGTAATAGCCTACCAACCAAGAAAAAGTCCAGGACCAAACAGGTTCAGAGATAAATTCTACCAGTCATACAAAGAGGGACTGGTACCACTCCTTCTGAAACTATTTCAGAGAATTCAAAAAGAAGGAATTCTTCCCAAATCATTTTATGAGACCAACATCATCTTGGTACCAAAACCCTGGCAGAGACTCAACAAAAGGAGAAAACTTCAGGCCAATATCCATGATGAACATACATGTAAAAATCTTCAATAAAATACTGGCAAATCGATTGCAACAGCACATCAAAAGGCTTATCCATCCCAATCAAGTAGGCTCCATCCTGGGGATGCAAGCCTGGTTCAACATATACAAGTCTATAAATGTAATCCACCTATAAAAAAACTCAGACTAAATTCACATGATTATCTCAAAAGATGCAGAAAAGGCCTTCAACAAAATTCATCAGCCCCTTATGCTAAAAAGTCTCAATAAACTAGGTATTGATGGAATGTATCTTAAAATAATAAAAACTATTTATGACAAGCCCACAACCAATATCATACTGACTGGGCAAAGACTGGAACCATTGCCTTTGAAATCTGGCACTAGACAAAGATGCCCTCTGTCACCACTCCTATTCAATGTAGTATTGGAAGTTCTAGCCAGAGCAATCAGGCAAGAAAAAGAAATAAAGGGTATTCAATTAGGAGAGGAGGAAGTCAAATTGTCTTTATTTGCAGATGACATGATTGTATATTTAGAAGACCCCATCATCTCAGACCAAAATCTCCCTAAACTGATAAGCAACTTCATTAAAGTTTCAGGATCCAAAATCAATGTGCATAAATCACAAGCATTCCTATACACCAGTAACAGACTAACAGAGAGCCAAAGCAAGAGCAAACTCCCATTCACAATTGCTATAAAGAGAATAAAATACCTAGGAATATAACTAACAAAGGATATAAAGGACCTCTTCAAGGAGAACTACAAACTACTGCTCAAGGAAATAATAGAGGACACAAACAGATGGAAAAACATTCCATACTCATGGTTAGGAAGAATCAATATCATGAAAACGGCCATACTGCCCAAAGTTATTTACAGATTCATTGTTATAAATATTTATAAGTTTATTTATAAATTCAACACTACAATGACCTTCTTCAGAGAACTGGAAAAAACCACCTCAGACTTCATATGGAACCAAAGGAGAGCCCTCATAGCCAAGACAATCCTAAGCAAAAAGAACAAAGCTGGAGGCCTCACACTACCTGACTTCAAACTATACTACAAGGCTACAGTAATCAAAACAGGATGGTACTGGTACCAAAACACAGATATAGACCAATGGAACAGAACAGAGGTCTCAGAGGCACACATCTACAAATATCTGATCTTTGACAAACCTGACAGAAGCAATGGGGAAAGGATTCCCTGTTTAATAAATGGGGTTGGGAAAACTGGCTAGCCCTGTGCCAAAAGCAGAATCTGGACCCCTTCCTGATACCTTGCACTAAAATTAACCCCAAATGGATTAAAAATCTAAACATAAGACCTAACACCAAAAAAACCCTAGAAGAAAACCTAGGCGAAAACATTCAGGACATAGGCATAGGCAAGGACTTCATGGCTAACACACCAAAAGCACTGGCAACAAAAGCCCAAATAGACAAGTGGGATCTAATTAAACTCCAGAGCTTCTGACAGCAAAAGAAACAATCATTAGAGTGAACTGTCAACCAATAGAACAGGAAAATTTTTTTGCAATCTACCCCTCTGACAAAGGGCTAATATTCAGAAACCACAAAGAACTAAAACAGATTTACAAGAAAAAAACAATCCTATCCAAAAGTGGGTGAAGGATACGAACACTTTTCAAAAGAAGATGTCTGTGAGGCCAGCAAACATATGAAAAAAATGCTCAGCATCACTGGTCATTAGAGATATGCAAATCAAAACCACATTGAGATACTATTTCATACCAGTTAAAATGGTGACCATCAAAAAAATCTGGAGACATCAGATGCCGTAGAGGATGCAGAGAAATAGGAACACTTTTACACTGTTGGTGGGAGTGTAAATTAGTCCAACCATTGTGGAAGACAGTTTGGTGCTTCCTCAAGGACCTAGAAATAGAAGTTCCATTTGACCCAGCAATCCCATTACTGGTTATATACCAAAAGGATTATAAGTCAATCTATTATAAAGACACATGCACACATATGTTCATTGTGGCACTGCTTATCATAGCAAAGACCTGGAACCAACCCAAATGCCCATTGATGATAGACTAGACAAGGAAAATGTGGCACATACACACCATGGAACACTATGCAGCCACAAAAAAATGATGAGTTTGTGTCCTTTGTAGGGACATGGATGAACCTGGAAACCATCATTCTCAGCAAACTGACACAAGAACAGAAAATCAAACACCACATGTTCTCACTCATAGGTGGGTGTTGAACAATGAGAACACATGGACACAGGGAGGGGAGCATCCCACACTGGGGTCTGTTGGGGGAGACCAGGGGAGGGACAGCAGGGTGTGGGGAGGTTGGGGAGGGATAACATAGGGAGAAATGCCAGATATAGGTGACAGGGGGATGGAGGCAACAAGCCATGTAAGTACCTATCCAACAACCGTGCATGATCTGCACATGTACCCCAGAACCTAAAGTATGAAACAAAATGAAAAGTCATCTTTGAAGACTAAATAATCACATATACACACTAATCAAGGGGTGGGGGGAAGGAGCATATTACATCTTGCCTGGAGCTCTACTTCCTCCACTGAGAAATGAATAGTATGATAATAATGACGGTGTCAGGTTGGGGTTTGAGGGAAAAAGATGCTGAGATGGAAGCAGAAGTACAGGATAAAGGGGAGAGGAACAAGCAATGAAGCAGGAGCAGCTGAAAGAAGAGAAGGAAGGAGGCTCAGCTAGCAAGTGCCCTAGTCTGCAATGCAGTCTGTGGGAGTCTTGAGGAGTGCTACACTGGGCAGCAACAGCTGGGTTCTAGTGTTTCACTTTCCCATGCTCGGTCACTAGGAGCAAGTAGTTTGGGGAGAACGTGGCTGGCCTCAGCAGGAGCACAGTGCCACAAAGGGATCTCAAAAGTGTGGCCTCTGAGTGCTTTCAGCTTACTTCTCTCCTAGCAGCAGGTCTCACTTGAAAAGAATTCTTGAGCTGCTCACCTGCAGGACTGCACAGTATCCCTGTGACTGCTGGGGCTTCAGGTGCTAAGTAATGTCACTGCGTTTTCATATTCCTGGGAGTTCAGAATCAGTCGGGAAGACAAAGCTGAAAGAAAGGTGGAGATCAAAGCATTAGCTTGATTACTAATGTGGTAAGGCCAAAGCATCTGGCTGCCTTGCCCCCAGACAGGCTTCCTAAACCTGGATTTCAGCTCTAAATATGAAAGCTTTAACCACTGACCCCTTACAGGCAAGTGCAGGTGTCCTAAGCTTCCTAAAACAAGGCTACCCTGATCAACTTGTTATAGGACAAGTAGACCAGGAACACGCGTTCTCTGTAGGCAGGTGTGTCTTAGAGAGAGGCAAGATAGAACTGTTTTCTTCTCCCAGGCTTAGTAAGTGAGGAGAGGCGCAGCAAGGCACAGAAGTGGATGTGACCCCTTCTAGCAAGGGATGAACATTTTCTAATGATAGTAAAAATTAGAAATAGCATGTATACTGTGCCTAGCACTGGCCTGGCCTTCTATTAGTGATGGGTATTATCATCGATATCATAATCATGGCCATGGTAGGGTATGCACAGCCCTAATTCAGGGAAATACACTTGAAGGTTTAAAATCATTCAGAGAAGAACACTTACACCAGGGAAAAGGCCAGCTGCAATTGTTCACCCAAGATGTTAAGTTTTGTTTCTGCCTAGTTGGGGGAGTAGCCAGGGCTTCCAAATCTCCTGTTGTAGGTTCAGTCATTTTCTAGACCATCTCTTAAGGCCACACTTGGGCAATGAGCGGGCGCAAAGCAATAATCACCTTTCCCCTAAAGAAACTCTACCTCACTGAATGATTCCCATCACATCCGTAACCTATGTCAAAACTTGTTTTTCCAGGGCTGGAGTGAGCTGTTATTTCTGAACCTCACATCATGGGTATTAAGCTATAGCAGTTCTTCCCCCTTTAATTAAAGAAGAGAATTCTTCCAAGTTACTCCTTCCAACGTGTGAAAACTTCATTTACTTCCCAAATCGGTTGCTTTGTTTAGGAACATTCTCTAATCCTAATGTGACTCAATAATACAGCTTCAACTCCTGTAATTACGTGGTCTGACAATCTGCTCTGAATCATAAAAATGAAAATGTGGTAACCGGATTTGCTAGCAGGGACATTCTGTCTGTGGTGAAATGGGAATGTTAGGCACTCTCCAGAAACTTGGGAGGTGTGCATTTGTTTCTAAGAGGGCTTCAAAGACAAAACAGTAAAAATTGCTGGGCAAGAAAGGGAGTGCCATCAGACAGGCTGATGTGCTGTTGTGCTGAACCCCTCCCAACTTTAATGGGGATGGCAGCAGGTTTGAGACACTGGAGAAGAGCCCCAGAATCACTGAAAGAGACATGGGGTTCTGCTGGGGGCTTTCATGCAGAGGAGAGAGCCTAGTGGCAGCAGCCTGGGCAGGAGAACCACAACCACTTATGAAAAACATGCAATCGCAACCTTCACTTAACCCAAGATAAAGGGTCACCATCTCAGGTCACCATCCCTCGTACAGCTTGCATCCCACAGGACAGGCCTGGGGCTCACATGTTCCCTGTAGATAAGAAATGAAACTCCAGGTTGCCGCTCCTGGATTCTAACTGAGAACTTCAAACTGGTTTGAGGGGCATCCACCACACGATTCATTCTCAGGATATGTTTAAGTGATTGCTATCAGCTGCGTTTATCATACATATGGCACTTATTAAAATTTCGATTTTGACAAAATGAACTACGTCCCTGAATTCATGCACTGATTGTACTGTTGCATATGTGCCATTTTCTGTTACGATACAAAGAGTTACAGTCATTCTTTCCTAGTGGATATGCAAATGAAATCTGCTATCTCTGGCAGAGGGGCAAATTTTAATGCTAATCATGACTGCTCTCTAGATCGGTCTTCCCAGCTTAGCGTTATCAATGTTTTTCTAGCTTGGTCATTTCATTTTGTTTTAGTAAGAGAAGCTCCTGGTATTTTTATTTCTAGGTCACTCAGCTTAATGCCCAACACTTAACCCCACCCCACTTCTCTCATTCTTTAGGGTTCCCTGGTCTCCTTCCCACCCTCACAGATCTCCTCCTTTTACCTGATAACGCACATTTTCATAAAGAGTTATAGAAAGCAAACTCACCTAGATTTTCCAGCATATATAATCATAGTAACTGTATTCAGATTTAGAAGAAACATTTTGAGAACATATGGTCAAATTTTCTCATTCTACAGAATTTTTTAAAAGTACAGACTGCAAATGCCTCTTTAACTTGCCCAAGTCCACACAGTTTGATAATGTCAAAATCCTTTTTTTCCCTCTACAAAAAACACAGCTTCTGTAATTCTTTTCTATTTCTCTTTCTTGGAAATTAGAACAAATTTTTTGAAGGAAGAAATATTGCCAACATTATAACCTTGAGTGAAGCATTATTACTTTAGTAAATGTTTTGCTAAGATATCGAACATCGAAATTAAAAATCAAACAATTTCTAAATGTATTTGCATTTTACACTGTGTACTTCTGAACACAGCGTTGTCATTTTTATTAAACTTTCATGAACCAGTGTGTACTTTGGTTTCACACTCTCAACACCATACCAATAATGAAATTACTCATAATTTCATACTAATTGATTGGCTGTCATCTGCAACCATCTATGAACCAGCAAGGCATAGAAAGAATTGTTTGGAAAAAGCCTGTTTAGTATCAGTTACATTGATTCTGACTCCCAATAATTCAGATTTTTCTCTTACAAAAAGTTGAAAAAATATTATTGTAGAAAACTTAGCACCTTTAATAAAACATGCCTTTTTTTTTTTTTTTTTTAACATTTCTTCCTTTATCTTTCAGAAGTCAATTCTCTACAGGTTATTTTAGTGAAAGTCTCTCAGGCCTTATTTTTCTGAAAACGGTATTATTTGGCATGATTCTTTTAAAGGCAGTATTGGTGGGTAAAAATTTGATGGTTATTTTCTTGCAACATTTTGAAGATTTCCTGTAGTTAACAGTTCAGTCTGTTTTTGCTTTTTTTAAGCTGATCCATTTTTTCCTGTGTGCTTTGACAATCTACTCAGTATCTTCTGTGTTCCACAGTATCACTATAATGTGCCCAGTGACAGATTTCTTTCTATTTATCCTTCTGAGAATTTGTTTCTTGGATCTGGGAATGGGCATCTTTCATTAATTCTGAAGAATCTTCACATAGCACTTCACCAAATATCACTTTCTAATCTATTATTTTCTCTTCTTTCTCTGTCCTTCACCCATGTGGCATTTTTGTCCTCTGCGTCTGTTTCCTCTCTGATGCCTTCCGGTTAATTTTTTTCACGTCTGTCATTTAACTTGCTAATTTTCTATTCAACTTTATTTAATCTGATGTTTAGCTCTTCACTGAATTTCTAATTATAGTTTTCTCTTTTTACAGTTTTCCTTTGGTTCCTTTTTAAATATTCCTGGCCATTTTTTAATTAACACATAAAACACCTTTAATAATCTGCATCATAAATTTTAATATCTCTCGTCTGTGCAAGTCTGATTCTGCAGTTTATTGATTCTGCAAACTTATGCATTTGGTTACTTCCTTGTATATTTGCCTTTTTGACTATCATGTTCCTTGGACTTACTTATGGAAACTTTTGTGATATTGCTTTTAGAGCTCATTTATTTACACTTGGTTTTCTGAGATACCTGAAGATATTACCTTAGCAATACCTTTAGCTTCATATTTGGCTAAAGATTTTGTTTTTGTTTTTATTTTGTTGGCTAATGGCCCTTAAACCCACGTTAGTCCATGTATAAGATTAGGACATCTCAACAGAGATTTTCTTCCTTTTTCTCTGCGCTCAATGTTAAAACTGATGTTGTCAAATCTCCCACTGTATTCATGACCCTAACATGGATCCCTCCATGCCTCACACATGTGGCTCATTCAAATCCAAGCTCTGAATAGTGGTTCTCCAGACTATTCTTGAATCTGCATTCATCAGCATCACCTGGAATGTCACACCTGTAATCCCAGCACTTTGGGAGGCTGAGGTGGGCAGATCACTTGAGGTCAGGAGTCTGAGATCAGCCTGACCAATAGAGTGAAATCCCATCTCTACAAAAAATACAAAAATTAGCTGAGCATGGTGGCACACACCTGTAATCCCTGCTACTTGGGAGGCTGAGGCACAAGAGTTGCTTGAACCCAGGAAGCAAAGGTTGCAGTGAGCCAAGATCAAACCACTGCACTCCAGCCTTGATGACAGAGGAAGACTCAGTCTTAAAAACAAAAAATAAAAACAAAAGTAATACAAATTCTGGGTTCACATCCCTGACCTACTGCATCAGAAACCTGAACTGGGGCCCAGTAATCTGCGTTCTCAAAAGCTCCTCCATCTGAAGATGCATGCTTAAAGTTGAGAACTGTTGTTCTTGAGTCTAGGTTACCTGGGGTTGTCAGATGCCTCAAAGCAACTATTTCAGTGCTTGCTTAGAACTCTTGATCCAGGCACTTTTATCATTTCTCGTTACTAAGAATTTCCCTTACAAAAGCACCAGCTCAACCATGTATTCAAGAATTATATAGATGCAAAGATGGCTGAATAGGAACAGCTCTGGAATGCAGTTCCCAGCAAGAACAATGCAGAGGGTGAGTGATCACCACATTTTCAAACAGCACTGTCCACATACCAGGAGATTCCCAGGCCGAAAAGTGCCATGGAATTCCAGCACAGCTGTTTCAGCCAGTGCCACAGGTTGGCATACAGAAACTCACACAAATCTGGGCAGCCGTTTCAACTGGTGCCTGGAACACCTGGGATACAGAGCCACCCGTTCAACTGAAAGGGAGGGGGCTGAGACAGGGAGCCAGGTGATCGGGCTCAATGCGTACCACACGCAGAAATCAAGTAATCTGAAATGCTGTGGATTGAGAGTTTCGTAGCAAGTAAACCTGGACCGGGACAGCCCAGCTTATCGGGGGGAAGGGCGTCTGCCATTGCCAAGGCAGTCCACCATTACTGAGGCAGACCACCAATACCAAGGCAGTTCTAACTATACCTCTATAAACAACACCTCAAGGAAGTTCACATAACAGCTGGGCA